AATTAGCCCGAAAAACTCTGTGACATCATCCACTATAGAACAAGTGTGTTTCAACTCCTTCATTCTCTTCTTACATCATGATCTACATTCTCGAGATAGAATTGATGCTTCAGCTCCTCCCATGTCTCAATTGTGCAAGTCCTACTTTTTACCTCAACATACTTCCTACGCCACAAACTAGTTGCAAGGTCATGAAGATACATAGCAGCAAAGTACTTGTTACAATCATTTATACAAACTCAGGCTTAATGTTGACTTTTACAAGTTAACAGCTGTTGTTAGTTAACAACAATTTACTCTTAACATAATACCGTCTTATAATTATTAATATGATGTTTGAGTAGATTTTGTGTTAAAAACATTTTCATTTTGTTGTAATTATGTCTTGCTTTATCAATTTAAAATGACAGGATGACAACATTATTCTATCAACATGACGTAATTTGCATCAATCTATTGCAAATTGAACATCCAGGAAGCAAAGCGCAAGACGATATAGAGCGTGTCATGTTCAGTTTAAAGCGTTTCGTGTATAGTTCATGTGATGCAATGAGATGGAAACCACATGTTTTCAATGACACCTTTGACAACTTTTCCGGTGTCGTTTGGCTCTTCATGTGATGTGGGTTCGTAATAAAATGACCTGAATTTGGCATAGGCTTTTGATAAGGACTTCAATAAAGTTGTAACATGTAGATATAAACTTACAAAAACTAGTATTAAAGTTATATTATGAAATGACATGCTTGTAACTTGTTATGAAGCTTTTTCAATATACGCCATTCAAAGGATACATGAAACTTCAAAATGGAATAGTATTATTATAAGTAATCTGAAAATACTGAGTACATACATAAATTTATAATCGAGTCAATTTATAGTTTTTAATTTGGAATATAAAATTTGAGATTTGTTAAAAATAAAAGACCAAAAAAAAAAAAAAAAAAAAACTCTCTTGAAAAATTATTAATGCAATAATAATTCATAATATCGTTATATTTATTAAAATACTTACAAGTAAAGGGAACTTAAGAATTATGCCGGCTGAAAATATTAACATCATGGCCCCCTTCATGTTCCTTTATTATTTTAAATATGAAATCAAATTAAAGGAGTCAATAAAGTTGTTTAGATTAGAAATGCTGACCAATCACTTATGACTTGTTTAAACTAAATTCAATTTAAATAAATTTGTATTTATAACGTCGTCAAACGATGAACTTGTTTCTTATTCACATTAGGCAGTTTGGGGTTATTATAGTTTTAAATTTAATCACAAGTAACTCGACTGTGAAAATAGTCGACTAAAATCTGTTTGAGAAACTTTATTTTAAAAATTGTTGAGCTTTTTAAAAGTTATATATATTATATGTTTGGTAAATTTGATTATTAAATAATTGCTATAGAGTATATAATGACAAGAAGGAGATGCTTTAAGTCCTAATATATATATATAAGATTATATTTTGATGAATATATTTGATGAGTATTCAATAAATATCAAATAATTACAAGATCCAAGGCAATCTAGCCTTTTTCAACCAGATCGACGCATGATCAATCATATCTGATCGGTCATGCACCATTCAGGCCATTGTCGGTTGCGGTCGGTGGTGGTGACTGATAGTTGCTTGGGTGGATGGGGGTGATTTTGTTAAAATTTAAATTTTTATTGTGACTGGGGTGTTTTAACAAATTCTCAAATGTAAGGGGCTAAATAAAAAAAGTTCAAATAATAATATTATAATAATATTAAAAAAAGAGGGGCAATTCAGTAATCTATATAACATACCCACCAATTTATTCTTTTTAACCAAACATATCATTATAACATACCCGTCAATTTATTTTAATCTAACTAAACACATTTAATATAACATCCACAGTCATTTTTAAGGTAATCTATCTTCTCATTAATATAACATTTCTATTGATACAATATTTTCTAATTTCCTTGAACCAAAAGCACCCTAAACATCATGAAAAAGAAAAATCCTTAATTTGTGAGACGGAGTAGACCGTCACTTATTGGAACCCACCACTAAACCAATATTCACAAACTTATCTACAACAACGTTACTTTTACTCATTAATTGTATTTTAACTATAAAAGAATATTTGTCATTAAATAATTTAAGTTCATGAATATGGGCACCATCTTGTACATGCATGTATTATTCCAAAAAAAACTATTTCAACCATATTTGAGAATATCAATATCTTAAAATATTCACGGTATGAAATAATGAAAAAATGATTAATGATGTAATATGGAAAGCAAATATCGCGAATGTGCAATATGACAATCTGGGATCAAGGCTTGATTTACTGAATCATTCTTTATTAAATAGGTTGATTACATGTAATCTCACCATTAGGACTGTAAACAAGCCGAGCCGATTGGGCTGGGCTCGGCTCGATAAAAGCTCGTTTAGAGTTCGGCTCGACAAGGCTCGGCTCGACTCGACTCGAACTCGGTTCGTTAACCGAGTCGAGTTCGAACACAGTGAAGCTCGACTCATGGGCTCACGAGCCTGGCTCGGCTCGTGGGCTCGCGAGCCTGGTCCGGCTTAATTAAGCACTGTACACTTCACAGGGTGTTTTGATGATTTTTTAAACTATTAGGTATGAAATAATCGTTTCTAGTGAAAAAAGTTTTAAAAAATGATAGTTTCCCTCCCCTCCCAAGTGCAAATTTGAAATAACACGATACACCAAAACAGAGCGTCAATTTCAGTTCCCCATCCCAGTTGTCCTAAATCCCAAATCGTAATCAAAGACCCCCAAATCCCAAATCGTGAACCAGACACTCTGAAATCGGTAATCTCCGTCGCCATCTCCGATCTCGGCAACCGGAAAAAGAGGTCCGACACTCTGAAACTTCCAGGTTTGTTTGCTGTGCCCCGTTACCATCCCTAAAAAATTGTATGTAATTGTTGAAATCTGGTCATCCCCTCTTATTTTGTGAGTTTAAGATGGTGATTTGTGACCATCCTTCTTTTTCCTCCTTTCTATATTCTCGCAATTGGTGCTTGTTGATTTGAAGTTAATGACTAGAAATGTTTTTGTTTCTCCATTCTCTTTTCTTTGCAAAACTTTTGCTCCCCACATTGTCTCATCTAAGATGGCCTGTTAGGAGCTTTGTTGCATTATCTTCTATACTTTGCATGTGGCTAGGTTCAGCACGATCTGTTTGTTTTATGCTTTAGAGAAGTGAAAATGATGTACCGCAAATTTTTAATTTTTATTGGGTCCTTAGGCTACAGGGAAGGTGTTTGTTTGGCTGATTGTCAGTCTGTCAACCTGTTTGGAGTAAGTTGGTGAAAGATTCCTTTAGGCTGATATTATATTCACTTGGCTTGCCTATTTCTTTCCATGAAGCCTTCTTGAGTGCATTGTTCTTGCGTTTAAAGCTTGTAGATTTTGATTCACTTATGTATTGAGTTTTCCATATATTATGTCAAGTTTACTTGTATGAATGCAGTTGTTAGTGAGCATCACCGGAAGCCAGAAAATTTCGTTGCCAGTTTTTTCTGCGTGTTTTCTCTTCTAGAATTTTCTCTTCATCTCTGAAACTTTTCACATTAGAATTGTGTATGCGTTTTTTATGGAGCAGTAGGGTATATATTTGTTTATTCTTCATTTTCCTGAGTTCTCTGTCTGAATCTTCTTCTAGATTTCTTCCTTTCTTTTAAATTCTCCCTATATCTTGTCTGTTTTCTGTAATTCTGTTTTTTTTTTTTTTAATCTGTCTGCTACTCTGCTCCTCTGTCACTGTGTCAAAAAATGAAATTGCTAAAACCACTTCTTCAGATTTGTTAACTAGTTTCTAGAACAATACAATAGTCTGCACAATAATTTTAACATGGCATCATTAATAATATAATACCCTAAACTAATATCTGACTAGAGCTAGATAACAAAATAAACGGTGTTACTGTTTATAAAGGAGGGCCATATGGGTTGCTGAATAATATTTTTAATTTAGGTTATGATTTAGCTGTTGAAAGTTTATGTAAGCTTTAGGCTTGTCTTTTTGTTATATAGGAAATGTTTAAGATTCCACGTGCTTAACCTATGCTTGGATTTGGGAGAGATCTTATGTACTTATTTTTCTCGATAATGTTCTTTAGTGCGTGTAATTGGGTAGCTATTGGCTTTTTCTCAACAACATTAGCCCGACCCAATATAATACATGTATGCTACTTATTTACATTAATGGTACAGGATTAATTACTGTTTCAGCTCTGCTTTTCATTTTATTCTATTTTGGCTTTTGACTTATGAGATTGAGAATGCGCTTTTCATGATTTGTTTATGTGTTAAAGCTGTTGAGTTGATACTGGTCCTTTTTAAACTATTTATTCCTAATATCTTTTTACTTGTCAAAAATTAAAGAGCACTCATAATAAACATGACTGTTTAATAGCTTCATTTGGCCTATTTGTTGGAGATTATTCTAAACTTCTGGTTGATGATGGTTTTCCTCAATAGCTCAGTTTTAGCTTTTAATTGTTAAGAATAGTATATACAGTTATTATTGTTACAGTATGTTCTCTAGTTGCATTTTTCATTAACATTTTCTATGTGACCTTGTTGAATTTGTTTTATACTTAGGAATCTACTATTACTACAGTCATTTATACCTTTAAATTTGTATACTTGTTTCTATCGACTACCAAACCTGTCTTTTTTTTTTTTTTTTTTTTTTTTTAATTACATGAAAAAAAAAAAAAACTTACATCTTTGTTTGCTCTTTTTTACGTTTAGGAGTGAGCAATAATACTGTTGATTCTGTTAAATGTTTGGACCCCAAAGTATTGTTACGTTTACGTTTACGTTTTGGGTATGAACAAGTGTTTGGACTCCAAAGTATAACAGATTGTTTTTTTTTTTTTTCTTTTTTGGTAAAGTGAATATATATTATGTTAATTATATATTATTTTAACTTTATGATATTGTCTAACGATAGTGGTTTAATTCATTTTTCAGTTGTAGGTATGACATCGGGAGACAATTCCTCAAGCACCCCTACATTGGATGACGTCGACAATTGTGTTACGGTAAGAGCAGTCAATCAGCGTAACATTTATGAAAGCACAGGTGGTACCGAGCAAAGTGTGAGTAGTCTCGAAAATGTTGAGAATGACAATCAACTAGAGAGGAAGAAGAGAGCGAAGACATCAGTTGTGTGGTTAGAATTTACGGAGGTGGTTCTCCCTGGTGGTCTAAGGAAGGGAGAGTACATTCATTGTAAAACAAAGTTGAAAATCAGTGCCAGTGGAAGCACAACACAATTCAACAGACATTTGAAAAGGTGTGCGAAGAGAATAGCTCACTTGAAGCAACAACAAATAAATTTCCCCCCTTCCAATTCTCAGGGTGGCTCTAATGTCCTACCTGCTCTACGGGGCCAATCCAATATGCTAAAGATGAGGGAGTTTATTACACATTGGGTGCTAATGCATGAGCATCCATTTTCTATTGTGGAGGAAGAGGGGTTGAACAACATGATGAAGTACGGGATTTCTGAATGGATTTTGATATCCCGTAATACTTTTAAGAATGATTGTATGAAAATGTTTGAAAGTGAGAGATGGAAGTTGCTGACCCTATGGAAGGGTGTTAGGAAGATAAGTTTGACCACGGATCTATGACATTCAGGCAACCAGAGGATGGAATACATGGTTTTGACTAGGCATTGGATTGATAATAATTGGAAGTTTAATAGATGGGTTTTGAACTTTATTCATTTCCCTCCTCCCCGTTCTGGTGTTGCCATTGCTGATGCAATTTTCAAGTGTTTGATGGACTGGGGAATTGAAGCTAAGGTCCACACGATATCGGTGGATAATGCTTCAAGCAATGATGTTGCAGTTAAAGTGTTGAGAGATAATTTCCAAGCTATGGGGAAGCTCATATGTGGGGGCAAGATGTTTCATGTGAGGTGTTGTGCACATATCTTGAACCTGGTTGTTCAAGATGCTCTTTATCAGATTAGACACATTTTTGAGGACATCCGTGACACCGTGGCGTATATCAATTCATCGGAGAGTAGACTAAAGGTGTTTGTAGAGCTTGTTCAACAGCGCCGATTGCCATTTCGCAAGTTTATTCTTGATTACAAAATGCGATGGAATTCAACATATGATATGTTGACAACGACAATGCAATTTAGGCGTGTTTTCCCTTGTTTGAAGAAGAGGGATTTGAGTTATCATTATTGTCCCAAGGAGGAGGATTGGGACAAAGTTGAGAAAATTTGTCTTATTTTGAAGGTGTTTAGTGCTGCGTCGAATTTGATATCGGGGAGTGATTATCCGACATCAAACTTGTTTCTAAAACAAGTTTGTACAATAAAAATTATGTTGGATAGTAAGAGTCGGGATGGAGATGAGTTTATACAGACCATGATTTGGAAAATGAAAGAAAAATTTGACAAATATTGGGGAGAATTTAATCTATTGATGGGTGTGGCTGCTATTTTAGACCCCACTCTGAAAATGAGGGTAATTTAATGGGCGTTCCCTAAGATTATCCTCAGGCTGAATCACGGGCAAATATGGATGTTGTTCAAGATGCCTTGTATGAGGTATATAGGGAGTATGTTGATGCCAGTAAAGCATTGACAACTGCCCGCGCTTCTGCTTCTACAGAGGGTGCAGTTCAGGAGGTTGGTGAGGGGTCAGGGGCAGCGGCAGAGATGGCAGATGATTGGGATGATTTTAGTGAGTATCTGGATGTGGTTGAGACAGTTGAGCCAACGAAATCAGAGTTAGACTGTTACTTGGGAGAGGGATGCCATAAATGTGTTAGGGACGCCACGACATTTGATGCTTTGACCTAGTGGAAGGCTAATTCAACAAAGTTCCATATGTTGTCTACCATGGCTCGTGACATATTAACCATTCCTATTACTACGGTTGCTTCTGAGTCTGCTTTCAGCACCGACAGTAGGGTTATTGATACGTATCGATCGTCGTTGGCTCCCAACACAGTGGAGATGCTCTTATGTGGATGTGATTGGAGCAAGACATTGAATAAGGTGAAGAAATGATGTTAAGTAGGTTACATACTTATATTGAATATTGTTTTTATTAAATTTAGTTATTACTTTATATTTATACTAACTAAACTTCAATTACTCCTCCTTTGTCATTTTCAGGAAGAGCAGCAACCGTTGGAGATCAACCTTCCTATCTCGTAAGTTCCTGGGATTTAGTGCATGGTTTGGCTGTGGTAGGAGGCATGCATAGGTAAAACTTTTATTCCTTCTGCTTTTGTTTCATGATTATACATATTTTTTTCTTGTCATAGTTACCTTAAAAAATACTTATTAAATTGAACATTTTCTAGAGGCAGGGGGAAATTGTGGTTTTCATCAAAGACAGGCCTACTGCAGACTACTGGTGGATAGTGATTTTGATTGGTGGACTGTATATGTACTCCTAGGAATGTTATTTATATATATTCAGAACTGTTTTTTGATTTTGTAAGGTAGTAGACATTTTGTAATGTTCGAAACTGTCATGGTTAATTCAATATTGGATATAAATATGAAATGTTGTACGTAGGCAGATTGCTGTAAAAAAGAGGAACTTGGCTTGATCAAACTCGGACAAATGGTGGTTTGATCGAGCCTTATTGAGCTCGAGCTCGATAAGGGCTCAAGAGCTTGTTATCGAGCTTGAGCTCGAGTTACAATTTTGAGGCTCGCCAGGCTCGAACTCGACACTATTGTAAACGAGCCGAGCTCGATAAGCCAAAAGCTTGGCTCGGCTCTGCTCGTTTACACCCCTACTCACCATTAAGGAGAAATATTGTATTTCATAGTTTATACTTTACTTTCTGTATAAATAGAACTTTGTATAAACATATAATACATTGAAATACATAGATTACAATTGTAATTCCTCTTCTTTATTCCGACACACTCTTGGCAATTTAATTACAGCTCTTGCCTCTCTCTGATTAGCTCCTGACATGGTATTAGAGCTTTCAGCCTAGCTTTGCTTCCGCCAAAAAAATAAACCTCTCCAGTCTTTGTTTTGCCAATCTGCAAAACAAGGCACTCAAAGTTAGTATCAATCCCATAAAACAGAACAACCATTACCTTCATCCACTATGGATACAACCAAACTGCCAATAGCCTCAGATCACAACCAAACCAGTAGCCACACAGAGTCCACAACAGATGGCCTCACCCAAACCAACCAAACCAGCCCTCAAAACCCAAACATGTCGAGTCTGAATACCAACCTGACAAGTCCAAATCCTTACCCACTTTTCCAACTTGTGTCATCCTATGTCAAATGCCCGAAACCAGGCGATCCTCTCTATTCTCTAACGACTGACGGCTCTGAGTTGTGCTCATGAAGTAACCTTTCAGTGGTTCTAGCAACTACGTAAGTTGAACCTTAATCACAAAAGACAAGGACGGGTTCATGGATGGAACCCTCCAACCTCTAGAAGATCCTCAACTGCTTAAACATTGGGTAAGATGCAGCACCCTTGTTTGGGCATAACTGAGCAATTCCCTAACCCAGGATATTGCTGCTGGACTCCCACAAACTGAGGATGCCCATGAAATGTGGGTGAATATTGTTGAAATGTATGGTCAGCTTGATCTCACCATGATTTTCACCCTTCAGAAAAGACTTGCCAAAACCAAGCAAGGTACCCTTACTATTACAACTTATTTTAATCGCCTTTATGCCATTTAGAATGAATTTGATGTAGTAGCAGAGCCCTTTGAAGGGCCGCCAGCGACACTCCAATAGATCTAGAGAGCCAAAGACCAAGAGTGCCTCATCCATTTTCTCATGGGTTTGAACAAGGCTTTTCTTCCATTTCGTACCTTGATGTTGGCGACCATGCCAACCTTGTCTTTGTGCCGCACTTACCAGTTGGCGGTGCAAGACGAAAGTCAACATCAGACCACCTAAGAACAATCATGATCTGCTGCTCCTGCTGCATTCATTATCGCTCATGGAGATTTTGATGGTGCAAAGAAAAATGGCAAGGGAGAGGTTCACGGGAATGTGAGGGCATATATGGGTTCAAGAAATGGTAATGGAAATGGCAATGAAGGAAGTGGTTTTGTGCAGCTAGGGATTCAAGAGGAGAAGGGTTTTGATTTATATGGGAGTCCAAATGTGATGCACGGTCCAGATCAGCCCACTTCATCCAACGACCCAAATTTCACATCTCACATCAATGCATCCAATGGCTCATACTCAACCACATCTAATGGGCCCTATCAAGCCAATGGTTCTGGATCATCCAAAAAAGGTAAATTATGGTATGATCACTATATGAGGAGGAATTACAACCAAGAAAATTGTTGGAGATTTCATGGTCAACCATCCAATCAGAAATTTGGCAATCCAGTCATTAATCAGACTGCCACTAATTCGGGAAATACGGTTATTGCACCTATGATCAGTTTAGAACAATACCAACAGCTCATCCAAATGATGAACAATGTTCCTCAAGCAAACATGACATCTTATGTAGGTACAACTTTTTGTTTGAATTCAGTTAAAGATGATATCTGGATTATTGATTTAGGGGCCAGTGACCACATTATTTCCAATCCCAAATATTTTTCCCACATATCCACACAGTCCTCAATATCTGTTCGTCTACCCAACAGAAATGTTACACTAGCCACACACATAGGAACTATCCAACTCACACCACACTTAATTTTTATAAATGTTTTATTTGTCCCGACTTTCCATTTTAACCTTATATTTGTCTCCAAAGTTTGTCGTGATAACAATTGTGTCTTAAAATTCCTTCCTAACATGTGTGAATTTCAGGACCCTTTAATTGGGAAGCTGATGGGCTTGGGTAGAGTTTAAAACGGTCTTTACTATTGGATGAGTGATTTTGTTGCAACTTTTAATAAAATATCTTGTATTACCAAAAATAATATTTCTGATTGTAATACAAGTATTAATAAAGATTCCTTTATTTTCCATCAAAGATTAGGTCATAATGTGTCTGTTCCATGACCTAAGTGCCCAATTTTTCTATTACTAAACAGTCTTGCACAACCTTTCCAAATAGTGCACCCACACTACACGATCTTTTGCTCTTGTCCATCTCGATATATGGGGACCCTACCATACACCCAACCATGATGGTTCTAGGTTTTTCCTAACAATCGTAGATGATTTTTCCCGAGGAACTTGGGTATACCTCATGACCTCAAAAACACAAACACTCACACATATTCGAAACTTCCTCTCCATGGTCACAACCCAGTTCATCTTGTTTGTCCAATGCATTAGAACAGACAATGTGCGAGATTTCTTTAATTCCCATTGCTCGTCCTTAATTTTATCCCTAGGTATCCTCCATGAAAGCTCTTGTGTCTATAACTCCTAACAAAATGGTATCGTTGAGCGAAAACATAGGTATTTGTTAGAAGTTGCCCATGCCCTCAAACACAAGCCAATATATCTATTCACTTTTGGGACGAATCTATGGTCACCGCCACTTACCTGATCAATCAGATGCCATCTCAAGTTCTACAAGGTAAGACCCCATATGAGATTCTCTTTGGAAAAACACCGAACATCAATCATTTTCGAGTCTTTGGGTGTTTATGCTATTCCACTATCCTTGGTTCCCATGACAAGTTTGACCCCCGAGCCATTTGGAGCATATTTATGGGGTATCCAATGCATCAGAAAGGATGTTGTTTATATGATCCAGTTGTGCAGAAGTTTTTTTGTGTCTAGAGATGTAATATTTCATGAAGACAGTTCCCCTTTTTTGAGACGGCCACTACCTTGGATACTAGTTCTGAATCTGCATCACCATTTTTTGAGGATGATCCATTTCCAACAGGTCCTCTCTTTACCATGCATCTTGCCACTGATACTCATTTGCCTTCACTAACTCTAGACAATGCACCAAATTCTCCTCCAACTGCTCCAAAGTCTCCTACATCAAACAACAACTCATCTCCTCCCTCTCCCATTATGGCACCTAAACTTGCCCCAAGGCGGTCTGCATGCTCCACTCGACCTCTCATTTAGACTGTTGATTATGTATGTCCTACCATACAGGCCACTTCAGGTACCTCTTATCTAACTTCCAATTATGTCAGTTATGATTGTCTTTCTCCTGCCCACAAGATTTGTATTAATCAGATCTCTGCTAGCCATAAGCCATCTTGCTACACAGATGCCATCCAATAAGAATAGTGGCGCCAAGCCATGGCCGATGAGCTCACAACCCTTGCCCAGAATAATACATGGGAACTTGTTCCTCGCCCTTTGCACAGAAAACCAATTGGTTATAAATGGGTTTACTAGATCAAGCATCGGGCCGATGGTTCCATTGAACATTACAAAGCCCATCTTGTTGCTAAGGGCTTTATTTAACAGGGAGGTTTTGATTACTTTTTCTCCCGTTGCCAAACATGTCACAATACCGACCTTTCTTTCCATTGCTTCTATTTGAGATTGGTCCCTTCACCAAATGGATGTCCACAATGCCTTCCTCCATGGTGATTTACATGAAGAAATTTATATGGATCTACCTCCAGGACTTTATCGGCAGGGAGAGGATACTGTATGTCATCTGCGAAAGCCCCTCCATGGTCTGAACAAGCATCTCGACAACGAAACGCCAAGTTCACAGAAGCTTTCACTGGCATAGGATTCGCTCAATCTAAGCATAAATATGCACTATTCTCTTGGAAAAGAGGTAACTCATTCATTGCCGTTATTATCTATATGGATGACATCCTAATCACAGGAAATGATGATGTTGCAATCAAAGATTTAAAAGAGCGTTTACATAGACATTTTTGCATAAAAGATCTAGGGG